CGCACCCCCCAAGCATAGTGCACCCGCCTAGTCAACCCTCCCCCCTTCCCCCGCCAATCCTTCCCACCTACCCCACTCCAACTACCTTCACTCCCCCAACCATCTGCCTTCCCACAACACACAACTACACACAATTTATCTATTGCAACGTTCAAGTTTTGGATGTTTATTTTCAGCGCTTTAAAAAAGCCAGACTCTTACTCATAAAAATCTGCTATAATCCATTATGATGTATTACAATCCATTATAATTCATTATAATTGATTTTAATGGATTAAAACAATCTCTTTTTTATTTGTTTTGTTAACGATTTTTAACCCATTATGATCTTTTTAGATTTTTATGTAGACAGACCAAGAAAATCCATGATAATTGATTACTATCTATGGAAACTCATTGCAGGAACTTGAGGTCATTAAAAATTTGTGAGAGTGTACTGTTGATCCCAAATTTTATCACCTGAAAAATCGAATGGCTAAAAACTGTTAACATTTTTACCTGTAACAATTTGCTTGCTTTTAACTCAAGTTTCGGTAAAATTTTGTGGTTTTGAGAAGAATCAGCAGCTCAAAAAAAATTCCTCCAAGGTCGTTCAGATCCAAAAAAAAGCAAATAACAATGGTGTAACAACTGTGCAATGCCGTAAGAAAACAAAAAGCTTGGTAGGAACTGTACAATGCCGCAAAAACAATCTGACGCTGAAACTTTTAAAAAAAAAAGATAAAAAATTAACAAAAATCAAATGTGAATTGATTAGGTTCATGTATTGCATTTGTTCAGATATTGCATTTATTTGAATTTATTGTTTGGTTGACATAGAATTATCAGCATACCATGTTGAGACACTATAATCAATCTTTAATAATTGTTTCCAGAATTTTATGGTTCATTGAGAATCTATTTCAATCACTGCTCTTCTCTGTTTAGATTAATAAATCATTTTGTTTCCTTATTGTCTTAAGATAACTCTCAAAATTAAACATTAGTTTTTTATAATTTGAACGACAAATGTAATTAACGTCACAAAATATGTCCATTCATTATCCCAGAAAGAAGAAGATGCTGACGGTTGCTTGCTTCCTCCACCGCCTGGAACTGGGTTAGCCTGGCCAGGATTTGGATCCTGGCCCTTGTCCAGGTCACTCAGAAGACTCTCCAAAATACTCCAAGCGATATCCTCGTCTCCTCCAATTCCAGGCGAAGGGCCCGGATTTGTTCCTGGAGCCCCTGGGGGTTTGATCGGTATTGAAGTAGTAGTAGCACCATTGCCAGTCGGGCCTCCAGTCGAGCCTACAGTTGCAATAGGGTTTCCATTTCCTGTCGGGCCTACAGTTGCAATAGGGTTTCCATTTCCTGTCGGGCCTACAGTTGCAGATGGGTTTCCATTACCCGTCTGGCCTACAGTTGCAGATGGGCTTCCATTACTCGTCGGGCCTACAGTTGCATATGCGCTTCCATTACCCGTCGGGCCTACAGTTGCAGATGAGCTTCCATTACCCGCCGGGCTTACAGTTGAAGATGGGTTTCCATTACTAGTCGATTTTATAAATGAAGATGGGTTTCCATTACTAGTCGGGCTTATAAATGAAGATGGGTTTCCATTTACCGTCGGGCCTAAAGTTGCAGATGCGTTTCCATTACTTGTCGGGCTTACAGTTGCAGATGAGCTTCCATTACCCGCCGGGCTTACAGTTGAAGATGGGTTTCCATTACTAGTCGGGCTTATAAATGAAGATGGGTTTCCATTTACCGTCGGTCCTACAGTTGGAGATGTGCTTCCATTACCCGTCGGGCCTACAGTTGCAGGTGCGTTTCCATTACTTGTCGGGCTTACAGTTGCAGATGAGCTTCCATTACCCGCCGGGCTTACAGTTGAAGATGGGTTTCCATTACTAGTCGGGCTTATAAATGAAGATGGGTTTCCATTTACCGTCGGTCCTACAGTTGGAGATGTGCTTCCATTACCCGTCGGGCCTAAAGTTGCAGATGCGTTTCCATTACTTGTCGGGCTTACAGTTGCAGATGAGCTTCCATTACCCGCCGGGCTTACAGTTGAAGATGGGTTTCCATTACTAGTCGGGCTTATAAATGAAGATGGGTTTCCATTTACCGTCGGGCCTAAAGTTGCAGATGCGTTTCCATTACTTGTCGGGCTTACAGTTGAAGATGGGTTTCCATTTGTCGTCGGGCCTAAAGTTGCAGACGCGTTTCCATAACTAGTCGGGCTTATAATTGAAGATGGGCTTCCATTTACCGTCGGACCTACAGTTGGAGATGTGCTTCCATTACCCGTCGGGCCTACTGTTGCAGATGCGTTTCCATTACTTGTCGGGCTTACAGTTGCAGATGAGCTTCCGTTACCCGCCGGGCTTACAGTTGAAGATGGGTTTCCATTACTAGTCGGGCTTATAAATGAAGATGGGTTTCCATTTACCGTCGGGCCTAAAGTTGCAGATGCGTTTCCATTACTTGTCGGGCTTACAGTTGAAGATGGGTTTCCATTTCCCGTCGGGCCTACAGTTGCATATGCGCTTCCATTACCCGTCGGGCCTAAAGTTGCAGATGAGCTTCCATTACCCGCCGGGCTTACAGTTGAAGATGGGTTTCCATTACCCGTCTGGCCTACAGTTGCAGATGGGTTTCCATTACTCGTCGGGCTTACAATTGAAGATGGGTTTCCATTTACCGTCGGGCCTAAAGTTGCAGATGCGTTTCCATTACTTGTCGGGCTTACAGTTGCAGATGAGCTTCCATTACCCGCCGGGCTTACAGTTGAAGATGGGTTTCCATTACCCGTCTGGCCTACAGTTGCAGATGGGTTTCCATTACTCGTCGGGCTTACAATTGAAGATGGGTTTCCATTTCCCGTCGGGCCTACAGTTGCATATGCGCTTCCATTACCCGTCGGGCCTACAGTTGCAGATGAGCTTCCATTACCCGCCGGGCTTACAGTTGAAGATGGGTTTCCATTACTAGTCGGGCTTATAAATGAAGATGGGTTTCCATTTACCGTCGGGCCTAAAGTTGCAGATGCGTTTCCATTACTTGTCGGGCTTACAGTTGAAGATGGGTTTCCATTTGTCGTCGGGCCTAAAGTTGCAGACGCGTTTCCATTACTAGTCGGGCTTATAAATGAAGATGGGTTTCCATTTACCGTCGGGCCTAAAGTTGCAGATGCGTTTCCATTACTTGTCGGGCTTACAGTTGAAGATGGGTTTCCATTTGTCGTCGGGCCTAAAGTTGCAGACGCGTTTCCATTACTAGTCGGGCTTATAAATGAAGATGGGTTTCCATTTACCGTCGGGCCTAAAGTTGCAGATGCGTTTCCATTACTTGTCGGGCTTACAGTTGCAGATGAGCTTCCATTACCCGCCGGGCTTACAGTTGAAGATGGGTTTCCATTACTCGTCGGGCTTACAGTTGAAGATGGGTTTCCATTTCCCGTCGGGCCTACAGTTGCAGATGAACTTCCATTACCCGCCGGGCTTACAGTTGAAGATGGGTTTCCATTTGCCGTCGGGCCTAAAGTTGCAGATGCGTTTCCATTACTCGTCGGGCTTACAGTTGAAGATGGGTTTCCATTTCCCGTCGGGCCTACAGTTGAAGATGAGCTTCCATAACCCGCCGGGCTTACAGTTGAAGATGGGTTTCCATTTGCCGTCGGGCCTAAAGTTACAGATGCGTTTCCATTACTCGTCGGGCTTACAGTTGAAGATGGGTTTCCATTTCCTGTCGGGCCTACAGTTGCATATGCGCTTCCATTACCCGTCGTGCCTACAGTTGCAGATGAGCTTCCATTACCCGCCGGGCTTACAGTTGAAGATGGGTTTCCATTTGCCGTCGGGCCTAAAGTTGCAGATGTTTTTCCATTACTCGTCGGGCTTACAGTTGAAGATGGGTTTCCATTTCCCGTCGGGCCTACAGTTGCAGATGAGCTTCCATTACCCGCCGGGCTTACAGTTGCAGATGGGTTTCCATTTGCCGTCGGGCCTAAAGTTGCAGATGCGTTTCCATTACTAGTCGGGCTTACAAATGAAGATGGGTTTCCATTTACCGTCGGGCCTAAAGTTGCAGATGCGTTTCCATTACTTGTCGGGCTTATAGCTGAAGATGGGTTTCCATTTCCCGTCGGGCCTACAGTTGGAGATGCGCTTCCATTACCCGTCGGGCCTACAGTTGCAGATGCGTTTCCATTACTCGTCGGGCTTACAGTTGAAGATGGGTTTACTTTTCCGGTCGGGCCTACAGTTGCAGATGGGTTTCCATTACTAGTCGGGCCTAAAGTTGCAGATGCGTTTCCATTACTTGTCGGGCTTACAGTTGCAGATGAGCTTCCATTACCCGCCGGGCTTACAGTTGAAGATGGGTTTCCATTTCCCGTCGGGCCTACAGTTGCAGATGGGTTTCCATTACCCGTCGGGCCTACAGTTGCAGATGCACTTCCATTACTCGTCGGGCTTACAGTTGAAGATGGGTTTCCATTTCCCGTCGGGCCTACAGTTGCAGATGCACTTCCATTAACCGTCGGGCCTACAGTTGCAGATGCGTTTCCATTACTAGTCGGGCTTACAAATGAAGATGGGTTTCCATTTACCGTCGGGCCTAAAGTTGAAGATGCGCTTCCATTACCTTTCGGGCCTACAGTTGCAGATGCACTTCCATTACTCGTCGGGATTACAGTTGAAGATGGGTTTACATTTCCGGTCGGGCCTACAGTTGCAGATGCGCTTCCCTTACCCGTCGGGCCTACATTTGCAGATGGGTTTCCATTACTCGTCGGGCTTACAGTTGAAGATGGGTTTACATTTCCGGTCGGGCCTAGAGTTGCAGATGGGTTTCCATTACCCGTCGGGCCTAGAGTTGCAGATGGGTTTCCATTACTAGTCGGGCTTACAGTTGAAGATGGGTTTCCATTTCCCGTCGGGCCTACAGTTGCAGATGCGCTTCCATTAACCGTCGGGCCTACAGTTGCAGATGCACTTCCATTACTCGTCGGGCTTACAGTTGAAGATGGGTTTCCATTTCCCGTCGGGCCTACAGTTGCAGATGCGCTTCCATTAACCGTCGGGCCTACAGTTGCAGATGGGTTTCCATTACTCGTCGGGCTTACAGTTGAAGATGGGTTTCCATTTCCCGTCGGGCCTACAGTTGCAGATGAGCTTCCATTAACCGCCGGGCTTACAGTTGCAGATGGGTTTCCATTTGCCGTCGGGCCTAAAGTTGCAGATGAGTTTCCATTACTCGTCGGGCTTACAGTTGAAGATGGGTTTCCATTTCCCGTCGGGCTTGCAGTTGCATATGCGCTTCCATTACCCGTCGGGCCAACAGTTGCAGATGCGTTTCCATTAATTGTCAGGCTTACAGTTGAAGATGGGTTTCCATTTGCCGTCGGGCCTAAGCTTGCAGATGCGTTTCCATTACTAGTCGGGCTTACAAATGAATATGGGTTTCCATTTACCGTCGGTCCTAAAGTTGCAGATGCGTTTCCATTACTTGTTGGGCTTACAGCTGAAGATGGGTTTCCATTTCCTGTCGGGCCTACAGTTGGAGATGTGCTTCCATTACCCGTCGGGCCTACAGTTGCAGGTGCGTTTCCATTACTCGTCGGGCTTACAGTTGAAGATGCGTTTCCATTACTCGTCGGTTTTACAGTTGAAGATGGGTTTCCAATTGTCGTCGGGCCTACAGTTGCAGATGCACTTCCACTACCCGCCGGGCCTACAGTTGGAGATGCGTTTCCATTACTCGTCGGTTTTACAGTTGAAGATGGGTTTCCAATTGCTGTCGGGCCTACAGTTGCAGATGCGCTTCCATTAACCGCCGGGCTTACAGTTGAAGATGGGTTTCCATTACTCGTCGGGCTGACAGTTGAAGATGAGTTTCTAATTCCCGTCAGGCTTACAGTTGCAGATGCGCTTCCATTACTCGTCGGGCTTACAGTGGAAGATGGGTTTCCTTTTCCCGTCGGGCCTACAGTTGAAGATGGTTTTCCATTTCCCGTCGGTCCTACCGTTGCAGATGCGTTTCCATTACTCGTTGAGCTTACAGTAGAAGTTGGGTTTCCATATCCCGTCGGGCCTAAAGTTGCAGATGTGTTTCCGTTATTCGTCGGTCTTACAGTTGAAGATGGGTTTCCATTATTCGTCGGGATTACAGTTGAAGATGGGTTTCCATTTCCCGTCGGGCCTACAGTTGCAGATGCGTTTCCATTACTCGTCGGGCTTACAGTTGAATTTGGGTTTCCATTTCCCGTCGGGCCTAAAGTTGCAGACGCGCTTCCATAAACCGTCGGGCCTACTGTTGCAGATGCGTTTCCATTACTCGTTGGGCTTACAGTTGAAGATTGTTTTCCATTTCCAGTCGGGCCTACAGTTGCAGATGCGTTTCCATTACTCGTCGGGCTTACAGTTGAAGATTGGTTTCCTTTATTTGTCGGGCTTACAGTTGAGGATGGATTTCCATTTCCAGTCGGCCCTACAGTTGCCGATGCGTTTCCATTTTTCGTCGGGCTTACAGTTGAAGATGAGTTTCCATTACTTGTCACGCTTACAGTTGAAGATGGGTTTACATTTCCAGTTGGGCCTAGAGTTGCAGATGAGCTTACATTATTCGTCGGGCCTACAGTTGCAGATGGATTTATAGTACTCGTCGGGCTTACAGTTGAATTTGGGTGTCCATTTCCCGTCGGTCCTAAGGTTGCAGACGCATTTCCATTGTTCGTGGGGCTTACAGTTGAAGATGGGTTTCCATTTCCCGTCGGGCCAAAAGTTGCAGATGCGCTTCCACTACCCGTCGGGCTTACAGTTGAAGATGCGTTTCCATTAATCGACGGGCTTACAGTTGATGAGGGGTTCACATTTCCAGTCGGGCCTACAGTTGCAGATGAACTTCCACTACCCGTCGGGCCTACAGTTGCAGATGCATTTCCATTACTCGTCGGGCTTACAGTTAAACTTGGGTTTCCATTTCCCGTCGGGCCAAAAATTGCAGATGCGCTTCCGCTACCCGTCGGGCTTACAGTTGAAGATGGGTTTCCATTAATCGTCGGGCTTACAGTTGAAGATGGGTTTACATTTCCAGTGGGGCCTACAGTTGAAGATGGGTTTCCATTTCCCGTCGGGCCTACAGTTGCAGATGCGTTTACATTACTTGTCGGGCTTACAGTTGCATAGGGTTTTCCACTTCCCGTCGGGCCTCCAGTTAGAGTTGTCCCTGCCGATCCTGTTGGACCTCCAGTTACGTTTGGAATTCCATTTCCTGGTGGGCTTCCAGTTAGAATTGTAATTCCAGTTCCCGTTGGACTTCCAGTTATAGTTGTGTTCCCAGTTCCTGATGTACCTCCAGTTACAGTTGTATTGCTAGTTACAGTTGTAATTCCAGTTCCTGGTGGACCTCCAGTTACGTTCGAGCTTAACGTTCCTAATGGGTTTCCAGTTAGAGCCGTGTTTCCAGTTCCTGTTGGACTTCCAGTTACAATTGGGTTTCCAGTTACTGGTGGGCCTCCAGAAAAAGAAGTGTTTGCAGTTCTTGATGGGCCTCCAGTTGCATTTGGGTTTCTTGTTAAAGATGTGCTTCCAATTACAGTTGTGAGTCCAGTTCCTGTTGGACTTCCAGTTAAAGTTGTGTTTCCGGTTCGTGTTGGACTTCCAGTTAGAGTTGTCCCTGTCGATCCTGTTGGACCTCCAGTTACGTTTGGGTTTCCATTTCCTGGTGGGCTTCCAGTTAAAGTTGTGTTTCTGGTTCGTGTTGGACTTCCAGTTACGTTTGGGTTCCTGGTTCCAGTTGAGCCTCCAGTTACTGTTGTATTTCCAGTTCCTGTTGTGGCTCCAGTTACGTTTGGGTTTCCATTTCCTGATGGGCTTCCAGTTAGAATTGTGTTTCCTGTTCCTGTTGGACTTCTAGTTACAGGTGTATTCCCAGTTCCTGTTGTACCTCCAGATACAGTTGTACTACTAGTTGCAGTTGTATTTCTAAGTACTGATGTACCTCCGGTTACGTTTGAGCTCAACGTTCCTGATGGGATTCCAGTTAGAGTCGTTTTTCCAGTTCCTGGTGGACTTCCAGTTACAATTGGGTTCCTAGTTCCAGTTTTTCCTCCAGTTATTGTTGTATTTCCAGTTCGTGTTGTACCTCCAGTTATATTTGGTTTTCCAGATACTGTTGGGCCTCCAGAAAAAGAAGTGTTCGCAGTTCCTGTTGGATTTCCAGTTTGATTTGTGTTTCTTGTTAAAGATGTGATTCCAATCACAGTTGCGTTTCCATTTGTTGCTGGACTTACAGTTAAAAATGTGTTTCCGGTTCCTGTTGGACTTCCAGTTACAATTGGGTTCATAGTTCCAGTTGGGCCTCCAGTTACTGTTGTTTTTCCAGTTCCTGTTGTGCCTCCAGTTGCATTTGTTTTTCCAGTTACTGGTGAGCCTCCAGATGCAGATGGGTTTCCATTTCCTGTCGGGCCTCCAGTTGCAGATGTGTTTCCATTTCCAGTCGGGCCTCCAGGTAGGTTTGTCTTTCCGGTTCCTGGTGGACTTCCAGTTACAGTTGTGGTGTGCATTTTTGTTGCACTTCCAGTTATAGTTGTGTTTCCAGAAACTCCATTGGATGTTGGTCCAGTCGGCCTGGTTATTGGTACCGTAACAGAAGTTCCATTGGATGTTGGTCCAGTCGACATGGTCACTGATTTCGTAGCAGAAGTTCCTTTGGATGTTGGTCCAGTCGGTATGGTCACTGGTTTTGTAGTAGAAACACCATTGGATGTTGGTCCAGTCGGCATGGTCACTGGATTCGTAGTAGAAATTCCATTGGATGTTGGTCCAGTTGGCATGGTCACTGGTATTGTAGTAGAAGTTCCTTTGGATGTTGGTCCAGTTGGCATGGTCACTGGTATTGTAGTAGAAGTTCCTTTGGATGTTGGTCCAGTCGGCATGGTCACTGGTTTTGTAGTAGAAATTCCATTGGATGTTGGTCCAGTCGGCATGGTCACTTGTTTCGTAGTAGAAGTTCCATTGGATGTTGGTCCAGTCGGCATGGTCACTGGTTTCGTAGTAGAAGTTCCATTGGATGTTGGTCCAGTCGGCATGGTCACTGGTTTCGTAGTAGAAGTTCCATTGGATGTTGGTCCAGTCGGCATGGTCACTGTTTTCGTAGTAGAAGCTCCATTGGATGTTGGTCCAGTCGGCATGGTCACTGGTTTCGTAGTAGAAATTCCATTGGATGTTGGTCCAGTCGGTATGGTCACTTGTTTCGTAGTAGAAGTTCCATTGGATGTTGGCCCAGTCGGAGTGGTCACTAATTTCGTAGTAGAAATTCCATTGGATGTTGGTCCAGTCGGTATGGTCAGCTGTTTTGTAGTAGCAGTTCCATTGGATGTTGGTCCAGTCGGCATGGTCACTGATTTCGTAGTAGCAGTTCCATTAGAAGCGGTTCCTCCACTATGGGAGCTTGTTATGGTAGTTGTTGTGTTTCCCGTTGTTGTGTTAGTCGCTGCAGGGGGTGCTGTCCCTGTCAATGTTTGATTTCCCGGGCCGTTTGTGTTTTGGGACATGGTGGTAGTCTGGTTACCTGGAGGAGTTATCGTTGAAGCCGTATTATTGTTATCAGAAGATGTGGTACTGACCTGAGAAGACGTAGGGCCAGAGGGTGAGTGTGGTTGACCTCCGGAAGGACTCAATGTTGATGATGTTGTCGAAGCGTTCAGCCTCACCCTCTCGCATTCATCTTGCAGCGGCCTGTTGCAGCTGCTCCAGTTGTATTGAGGCTCATTTTTGCAAAGGCTCAGAAAGTTGTCATCTTGAAACATTTCTCTGTCTTGAAGGGATCCGTAGGCACAAGCCAGCGCAAATCGATACAGAGGAGCTGTGGGTGTGGTCGTCGTTGTTGTACCTGTAGCGCCTGTAGATGTATCGTTTCCTTGTCTCCCAGAGCATGACTGGAAACGACACCCAATTTGAGTGTATCCCTTGTTCAGCACAAAATACGTGAAGTTTATACTGTCACCCAATTTCTCACTTATGTTGTTGCCATGGCAACCGTATTGGTCTCTCTTACCTCCAGCGAACTGGAACAGATTGGACGCGTTCTTGTAGAGCTCCTCGAAGATTGCTTCGGAGCCATCTTTCGCCGAAAGCGAAGTCGAGTTTTCCCAGTAGACAAAAAACGAGTGATCCGAGGTGATGTAGGTGTTATTCGTTTTATTTTGATTGCAAGCATTTATTGACAAGTTCAAGGCTGCTAGGGTCAAGTCGTCGATATCGTATGAGTAATTGGCTAAGTTCGCTTTCGTTCTATGTTCATTATGCAGATTTACGAAGTCTTTATCAATCGCTCCTCCTGCTATTCCTGGAGACGGCGAGCCCACAATAAAATGTATGTAATCAAAGCAACTTAGTGCCAATATTACAATTACAAGTGTGAAATTGGTCATCATTACAGTTGTGTCACTGCTGCAAATAGAATGAAAAAGTGATTCTCTCACTCTCACTAATATAAGTCACCTTTATATAAGTTCCCGCTTCTCACTCTGAAATCATACCGTTACCTTGGGATTAACAGCTGACTTCACCATTGCTGCTTTTGACTTTTAGTGATAAGTTAACTTTAAAACTTGGATGGCGGGAGCCAATTTCTATATTCGTTTTCTCTGAAAAACATAAAAAGCGATTAAAAGCTATCATTAGCGACAAAAAAAAAGAGAAAAGAGTATTCAAATTTAGCGAGGTTATTTTCGTAGCAAGCAATCGGTGAACAATCCACCAGAAACTGAATGCTATGAAAAGAATTTGTATTCGACTGTAATGGTTACGAAAGCAGCTAATTTGATTTTCATATAGAAAAAGTCATCTTGTTATGAGTTACGCTACAAATTGCGTCCAATTTTTATGAAAATATATATTTGAAAGTGTATTGATTTTAGCCAACAAAATTAAGCCAATAAATTTTGTAATCAGGAATCAGTGCATAACCTATGATAAATAATTGCTCTAGTCCTTTTTTTCTCCAACTGCTCATGTAGAATTAGGGTAATTCCCTCGCAAAGTTGTCCTTTGGCAGTAAATTCAGCGGGGCGACCGAGATTCACTACTTTCTACAATCCCGAAAGGGTTATTTTGGTGGTAACTATTCTGTATTGTATTATGTTGCTTGCCCCTCGGTGTATGGCTCTTCGGTTGTCTTGTCTCGTCTACTCGATACAATCACAAGGGTTTCCAATGATAAATTAATTTAGATTATTATATGTCCAATTACAGAAGGCTCTGAGTGGCCAGGATATAATCTAGATTCAAGTCAAAGGGAAGGGTCTGCGATTTATAAAATGCCTAATTGCAATTAGTTTCCAACTTACTCTGCTAACACTAACTATTCACTCTCTCTAGAGAATCTCTGATGAGAACTAATTATTACTGGTCTCTTACTCCGAGAACCAACTATTCGATTCACTCGCAATAATTCTTCTGACTTTTACAGAATCTCCGGTACCCTCCACTTCCTTATCTTTCTTTTCACTTAGCTTTAGTTAAGTCACGCCATTCCCTAATAGTCCTGACATTCGCCTAAATCACCCGTCCGCACATGTTTTAAGACTATATCCCTCCTCCTGTGAACTCTGCCACGTGTCAACTTCGGTTTCTTTTATCAATCTTTTCACGCTTATTAGATACCCGGTATGCGGTAGCAGTCACAATTTGATCAAGCAAACAAACGTCATACGATCTTAATCAACCAATTCCTGAACTCTGTGAACTTCAGCTCTCGAGTTCCACTCAACCTCCAAACCATGCTGTGTTTACTCAGTAATCCTCCCAAGGTCTTTATTTCAATTATCCCGTTAACCTTCCGACCTCCCAAGGGTAGGGGGTGACCCTTTTCATGGGTAGGTAATTCATTTCAAGCATCTACTATTTCGATCTGTACTCTATTCCAATCCCGACCTTCTAGCTATCAGGGGAACGTAGTTTGTCTATTAGGGGTCAAATTAAACCAAAAAGTCACCTCCGAGAAGCCAAGTAAAATCACCGTCCATTCATACTATTTAGCAAACTTAACTCTCATGCTATGCCTCTATTACTACCAGCTTCTTCTGGGACTACTTTTATTTTACCCTGATTGATGTTCTATTATTAGCGCATTCGCCAAGCTAAATTGAACCCAATGTTTACCAAGTCCACTTTGAATTAAATCCACTACTCCAAGGTTGCAATGTAAAACTGTATCTCTATCAGCTTCTGCTCTAGTTCCCAATATAAATGTTTTCCTCCCAGTTTTTAGCAAGCTAACCCAATCTCATTTACAGCGGTTGGGCTGGGAAATACGCCACTTTCCGGTATTAATCTCGGGGTTTTCCATGCAATTTTGGGGTCAAAAAGCCCAAAGGTCATTTTAAGGTCACCCAGGGTTCAACCGGGGTCAAACTTCCATATTTGGGTTCAGAAATCCATAGGGGTCCTACCTACCAAATTTCATCCATATTTCATTAATACTCTGGGTTTCCAAACTTAAGCTCCCCTTAACTAGGCCTACAACATACTAGAATTTGAGTGTATTCCAACCGCTAGTTACCGAGTTCTGATAGGGCCATTTACACTTCCGGGGACCGTTATCACTTGCCCCCCAATGGTCTGAGGGGTTCCGTTTTTTGTATGCCCAGGTCAAATCATCTCTAGTATCACTCCTCTGAATTTCATAACATCAGCTTTCTTAGTTCCGATTTGGGGAAGGGGGGTTCGCCGATTTTGCCAAATTTTGTTTTCTGGCTTAGGAGGGACAATATCTTCGAAGAATGAACTGTTTCGAACTTAATCCTTTGTTTGCTCTACTAATTAACTTAATGACGAATCAATCTTACGCTCAGAATACTATAGCATGAAATACAGTAGATTCACCAATTCTACACTCTTCCCTTCTAGTCTAATATTCTCCCGAATAATGCTAAAAACAAAGTTTTTTATTTTAAAGCTTGTAATCTAATTGTCCCGGTCGCTAACTACTCATTCAAGGCGTTTTTCTCGAACCCTGTTAACCTATTATACTCAGTTCACTTTACTCATTATCAGTTTGACCTCGTAATCTAGTTCCTAACTTAATCATTAATCGCAGACCCATATGGTTGTCCTCCACTAATTAAATACACAAATAACTGCTACCTTACATAGATCAGGATAGCTTGACTTGGAGAACGAACCAATATTTAATTCAATCATCTGGGTGTGAGCCATTCTCTTACGGTGCTAGGTTTGTTGATAAGAGACGAATAATTTTCATTTTTGAGGTGGAGTCACACCCTAATATGATTAGCAACAAATACACGAATATTTAGGTATAGTGTTTCTAAAAGTTATCAACTCACGACCGGTCGAACTGGCTATCTCTCCCCTCACTCGCCATCCTCCTCTTCACAGCGTAGTATCCATCATAGCACTAGTCCCGATTCTCGGCCCTCGCCCAGAAACATCCCTCCACTTCCCTCGGACATAATTGATTCCTCTCCCCATCAAAGGCATGCTGGTCGTATCGCTCGCCCCGGTAGTTCTCGAAGCATTCGCCTCGTCAAACGATGAGCTCTCTGGGAATCTAGTTGGTAGATAGATCTGTCCACTGAACGAATCTACTCTCGACGGCTCCTGGGGGTAACTACTTGGCCTTGGTGCTCCTCTGTCATAGGGAGGGTCGTATTTCAGTGGCAATACCCCCTGTATAGTACAAGCGCATATCGACTAATTTTTGATAAGCATCGCCAGAAGACGCATGCGAAGACTGCCAGGGGTGGTTAACAGAACCCATATTACAACCCCGTAGCGCACGGGTCTGCTACGTAGCATCTGCCAATGGAAAGGAGTGTGCTTCCGCAAAATTTCATACGCGAAGGGTTTGGCAATTTCAGCCAAAACATCCTCGTCCACAGATCCTTCCGGTAACTGAATCAAGTTGAGACGGAGTGCTTCGACCATCTCGCTCCGTGCTTGTTCGAGTAGAACTGCCGGTATCACCACGCCGGGAAGATTTCTCTCTGCTTTCTCCAGGGTGGCAAACAGTGTTTAGATGAGGGGATGCTGCTTAATGGTAATGATTATACCCGTATTGTACTGGCAAGTTCTCGGGTCAGGTATCAGCACCAAAGCGCCGTCTGGTGTTTCGATTCGACCGTCGCAACTCGGTCGGAGAAGGCAGCTCTGACAGCCCGCTATTGGCTGTCCACTTTCTTTAGCCCCCCTGCTGTAGTTGAACAGCCTGTAGTTGTCGTCCCGTGAAGTAACCAAGTACGTAGAATCTTGCAGTTACGTGGCCGTAGGAGTCTCGGGCAAGACTATTACCTCCTGAGGGCACAATCTCAACGCAGTCGTTGGCAGGTCGAAGAAAAGACTAGCCAGGCACTAAGACTAGCTACTACGGGACATAGCAAATGGTCTCAGGCAAAGCTTGAGGTGGTTGCTCCCACTGCAGTGTGCCGCAATGACGTCATCCGAAACCTCCGCAAAATATTCGCGACGCTCCGATACTGAAAGATGCGTGCGTGAAAACCTGTATTGAGTCGCTGTGGTTCCTCCATCTGCCGGCTGAGGAAGGGAAATCGCTCGATACACTTCATGTAGTCCCATCGTGTGATGAACGGGGATGTTGTCAAGCACATTGATCCCAGTTTCTGTGATTACTGTCGACTGTACGAGTTCGAATGGGTAGTAAGTCATCAGCTCAGTCCTGGGAATGGCCTCTTGCATCATGTCCAGGTGGGTTCCGTCTAGATTGTCGGTCAGGACCTCTGGGGGTACCAAAGTTGCCGGTACGAATCCGCGGGCAAGTGCGCTCAACGCGTCATCCAGGATGTAGCCGTAGTTGTGCACCGCCATTTTGTAAGCAATCAGCTCCGCACGTATGGTGCCCAGGGTCTGCGAATGATTCGCAACGACATTGTAGAACTTCACCGCATGCCTATAAATGGAAGCCCAATGATAAGGGTTACACGCGTTCTTCCGATTTCGTTGATCATCGGTTTCGTTGACCAAGTTCAGGGGTATCCCACGGAATAGCTCAAAAACTGTTGTGGAATCATGGGAGATTAATTCCAGCTGGGTCTGGGTCTTATTTAAAGAATTGCCCAGAAGGTGCAGCTTCTCCCCCGACTCAAGCACGATTGTGCAGACAGCGCCGTCCAGAAAAGAGGCATCTTCTTCCAGTCAATCCATTCTCGAACTGTCGCCGCATAATCCAAAGAATGAGAAGTAATGGCAGAATCCATCCTTCAGTATAAGGGCGAGTATAATTGCTGCGGCGACGCCTCCGAGCGCCGACTTGATCCACGTTTTGTCACGTGAAGCCCCCTTCTCGTGTTTGTCCACAAAAGTTGTAGCTCGATTCCTCATCTCCGCCAGCATCGACTCAATTTCGTCTCTCTCATACTGAATTCCTTTGAATGCCAGGTAGGTAATGTTT